GAACCGGGTATATATAGATGTGTATATGTATCCGAGTAATTGTCACAGACTCACAATTATTTAACAAGAGGAACGAGAAAGAAACAAGGGATATATTTCAGACGTAGTCTCTCATTCAACTCCTCTAAAGACTACACTAGAGAGAAAACAAGTCAGCCAAAGTGCTTATGAACCAATAAAACATCTCTGTACAAAAGGGGTCCTAAACGGGCGGAATGTTTGAGAAGGAGAAACCTTTGTATCCTTTGTAAGCGTAATACGCAATCCGCGTATAGTAAAACCCGGGGATAAACAGAAGACAGCCGAGGACTATGAAGAAAATCCCTGGTTTTCACCATTGAGAAAAAAACACAATCAAACAGAGAATGAATCATCAGTACTTAAACTCATGCCCAAATCACATATGAAAAACAAAGAATGATAGGTAATTGATGCAAATAACGAGAAAGAATGAAAGATAACAAATCAAGACAAGTTTAGTATGATGCATATGCTTCGCTTTTGCATTAAGTTGGAGATGTGTGAAATGCATCAAATGACCTTGCAGAGTTATAGGCCAGCTACAGAAGAGCAAAACAACTAAGTCTGTGCTACAAGCATAGATTATTAAGATGGTTTGAGATAAGCACTTCTTAATTTGAAAATCATTTCAGAATGGAAAAAATTTATGGACTACAATGAAAATCTGCCCTTTCACCTTGTAAATAAGATAAGCACAGAATGTAACAAATACGCATGCCTTTGGAAAATTATCTGTATGAGTTTCCATATATTTCTCTGGATCTTCCCTAAATTACCATAAAATAGAGAGCACAAGGCCAAACTGGTTGCAATCTATCTAATAATCACCTAAATTCTGATATAACTTACTCAAATCTATATATTTTCTAAGAAAAAAGTGTAGCTGAAATCGATTAGTCTTCCTAAATCTCTCAAGCTAAGTTTATGGTAAGAACTAATCAGAGGAACACAAGCATAAAAAAATTCCCCCATTTTCTACACCTAGATTGGATACAAAAGCTTCGGAGAATTAGTAGAAGAAAGATGAGAAATCGCACCGTGGCCTCGATCACCGCCGACTCGGTTGTACGCCATGAAGAAGCCGGAGACGATTCCTAGGGTTCCGAACACGAGTAAAGCCACCGCGAGTGCGATCTCCTTCACCGGCGGTCTGTTATTGACGGTGTATGCAGTCTCAATCATGATGTCCTCGTCCGTTATCGAGAACGCATGGTCGACGTACGCCATTTATAAAGCTCCGGATCAAGATCAATGGGAAACGATCGGGGATTCGATATAGAAGAAACCTGAAGGATGTTGAATCAGATTTTGTTTCGTGAAAATCGGAAGATTCGAAGCTCCAGGAATGAAATTGTACTGTTTCGCTTTAGGTCTTTTGAGTCTTTGTGACGGAGTCGAATAGTCTGGTTAGTGCAATTTCCTTTTGTCGTGAAATCTACTCAACGTACAAAACCGTGCCGGATATATCATCTAGAAGCAAACTACACGTCGTTTCATTGTTTCTTTTTCTTGAAAAAACGGCAGAACGTGCGACGCCTGAAAGGGGAATCCAAAGAGAGAGATAGAGAGAGGTCTAATAGGTAGAACCGTAGAAGACAAAATGCTTTCAATACAACTCAGTCTCACACTAGACTGGTGTTTAAATAATATTTAGAATAGATCCCAAAAAGATGGGACAAAAAGAAATCATTTGTTCTTTTGATGATGACATAAGGTATTTACATATTCAAGATATTCATGTCAAGAAGTCAAACCGAACCGAACCATATTGATCATTGAGATTTGTTGGGAGGATAGAGTTTCCAGAGAGCAACAGTTGCATCCTCAGACGCAGACGCCATTAGCTCACAGTCTGGAGAGTAGGACACGGCGTTGCACTACGCAAACAAACACATGAAAGCATAAAATACAAAGATTCAAGAACAATAGTTGTCTTCAGTTAACAAGAGAGAGGGGAATAGAATCTTGAGTTTGAAACATATGTACTTACTGTTGCATGGTGGTACTTTAATATCGCTAGAGCATTTCCTTTGCGGTAATTGTAGACCCTAACTCTGTTATCCAAATGTAGCAAAAAGGTATTGGTAAAAACTAGTCGAAAGATCGATGAAAAGTGGTTTTGGGAAAGGAAAAGAACGATTTCATATGCATCAACACTGTTTTTACATTTATTGTTATATGTGAAAGAAAGTGAATTTAAGAGCAAACCTATATCCATAATATGGAACGAACAAGTGAGTAAATCATTCTCTAATTTCGACCTCGAATTGGGAAATATATGAACCAGAAATATCAAAACTGGGTTTAGATATGAAGAAGTGGATGCTAACCTATGGTCCCAACAAGCCATGGCTGCAATTTTCCCATCGGGTCGGATTGAGGTGCCAGATACGCCTGGCCTTTCCAATATAATCTCTTTCCTCAATGTACACAAACCCTAAAAACATATAACAAAAACATTTGTGGAACTCAGAATCAGACTATAGCTTTACAGCAATCACACAAGTGCATCCTCTCCTTACAGTCGAATGGTTGAGATTATACATCACAATTTTGTCATCTGCTCCTCCCGAGATACCTCCATCACATGATGATGCAACACAAAGACTTAAAACTGCATAAAGAAGACAAAATAAATAACATTGAAAATTCAAAGAGCTAGAACAAAAAATATAAGAAAAATCTGCATACAGAGGATGGGAACAAAACCTGGCTCTGAATGAAACTTCACACTAGTTAGAGGAATCTTAGCATTGCGTATATCCCAAAGTAGCATCGAACCATCCTCATAACTGCACAGGTTCGTAATAAACCACCCATTATAAAACAAAGTACGCAAATCTAGGTTTATTGTTTCTTGATCAATCGAAAACAGCTAAAGAAAAAGAGAGAGCATACCCCGCTAAGACATTTAAGAAACCTTGTGATTCAGGTGGGCAAAATAATTGAACAGCCATACACATTCCTGTAGGTGAGTATTTTAAGCAAATTATCAAAGGTTAACTGATGAAGGCACTCTAGTTTGCACAATTTTATAGATGGGACCATAAAAAAACATCAATGTTCACAAGAAATGTAGAAATGAACAATCTCATAGAAAGAACAGCATCAGCGTACCTCTTTCTTTGGTAGATAAATTGGGGGATTCGTCAGGGCTAGCTTGAGGCAGCTGTATGATCCTGTCTCCGGTATTGAGATCCCATATCTCTACCTTTACGGAAAGGCGAAATCCATAGAATGAAAACAGGAAACTAACAGCCAAAATACCGAGAAGAAACAAAGAATTATACCTCATTAGGTTGGTCCCCTGCTACTGCTACATAAGTGGTACCTAGGGCATGATCTCCATCTGTCCTTGCCAAATTCTAAGTAAATCTTAGGTATGGAACAACAAGAAGATAAACAAAATTAATGGAGAACTAACAATCTTACAATTTTACCATGCAAACTGCACATAATCAATTCAGTCCGAAACCATGATAAAACACACAATATTTCTAGATAACCCAAGTAAAGCATACCTTGAAGCAAACCAGAATCCTCCACAGATCTTTCACTATCATCTGTATATTGAACATTAAGTGTGTCTCCAGCCTCCTCCTCATCACAATTCTTTGGCTGCTCTTCTGCCTCTTTCACAGAATTCTTAGGCTTCTTAACAAGAGAGAACTTGCAAAAATGATAGGCGCTAGTATTGAGTATTAGTAATGGGTCCCTGCCAAATATGTCACGAGAGGCATTGATTATAGTTCGATAGTTACTAATGTATAAGCAGTTGAAAAAGGGGAAAATCATATCCACCTTGAGAGACCACCATCTTCAATATCCCAACACTTGACCGTTCCATCTCTGCCCTGGCTATAACCATAAAAGTAAAGTAGTTCAGGTTTTCCGGAAATCGATGGATAAAGAAAGCACGATTGGTTACATTTACCTGATAATCTTGTTCTCTCCTAACCAAGGACTAGCTGCTACAGCTAAAACCCCATTTGCTCTACTATGAGCCCTACAAATCGGCAACAAAACAATGAGTGCTACTTCATTATGAAAAGAAAAAAAAACAAGGAATTTAAAAACCGAAATCACAAACCAGGCAGAAGAAACAGCACGGTGCTGAATTGTATCCCAAATCCTCAACTCTCCATCAGCAGAACTGGAGAAAAAATTCTTCAATTTGCACCAAATTATCAAAAATAAGACAATTCAAGACTCGAAATTTCACACAAAAGTGAAGGAAAAAGACTAAATTTACCCAGTGAAAAGCAGAGATTTCGATGGATGAAACGAAACGTCCATAACAGAGTGACGGTGTCCTCTAAGCACAGCCACCGGATCAGGCGGTGGTCTCTTGCTCATCTCCGTTTAGCTTCTACACAAAAAAACCCAATTAATCCCTTCCAAAAATCTTGTAAAACTTTGCCGCGAAAGTAGCTGATGATCAAAAGTTCGAGAAATGAACTGTTTGCTTTTAGGTCTTCACGAGTTCTTATGATGGAGAAGACGATTAAATTTGATGTTTTTTTTTTTGACATGCCGGATCTACTTTCTAGAGAAAAACTACGCGTCGTTTTGTAACTCCAAAAACGGCAAGACGTGCGAGTATAATTTCACGAGATTTAGTATCTATTTAACGGATAACAGTAGCCGAGTTTCCAAACAGGCCAATTCTAAAACTGTTCTTACTCTGAATGAGAGCGATAACGAGAGAGTTACTCTGAAGATCCGACGAAATGGCTCCGAGATCCGATTCACAAACCCTAGCCACCGGCGCCGGATCCGCCATGTCTGACACGTCTGGTGAATCTTCAATCGATCCGATCTTCCACATTCTCCGTATCGTCCCTTTCTCATTCCTCAAGCCACCGCGCCTTCGTCTCAAGCTTCCTTCGTTCACGCTCCCCTCTCCGATGACTGTGTTCGCTTTGATTCTCCTAACCTACTTCCTAGTCGTCTCCGGATTCGTCTACGACGTGATTGTAGAGCCTCCAGGTATCGGATCGACCCAGGATCCAATCACCGGATCAATAAGGCCCGTCGTGTTCATGTCGGGTCGGGTTAATGGTCAGTACATCATTGAAGGTCTTTCTTCTGGATTCATGTTCGTGCTTGGTGGGATTGGGATTATAATGATGGATCTTGCATTGGATAAGAATCGAGCTAAGAGTGTTAAAGCATCGTATGCTACTGCTGGAATCTCCTCAATCGTGATCGCTTATGTTATGAGTATGCTCTTCATTCGCATTAAGATCCCTGGTTATCTCCATTAGGTTTAGAATCATTTCACTTTTTTCTGTAATTGGGTCTTTAGTTTAATAAGATCAATCGTTGGAAAAGATTTGCCT